GGTTACCCAACTCTCCGCCACCGCCGATAGGGTTTCCGCCGTCTAGTACTTCAGCAACCAACGACTTGTTCAATATATATATATATATATATATATATATATATATATATATATATATATATATATATATATATATATATATATATATATATATATATATATATATATAGGGGTGTATATATATATATTTTTCATCACAAGTTCATTGGCCAAATTTTGTTAAAGTTGTAATTTCATGTCACGCACACCCAATCAAAAGAATTTGAACAAGACGAAAAAAGGGTAAACAAATCTGAATTTTTGTATGTATTTATTATTTTAAATTCATTGTGTATAATTAATATCGGATCGAATTTTGAAATCTCGTTTATATTCCAAATCGAAAAAATTCAAACCAAAATCGGCGGAATTTTAAAATTTACTTTCCAATTTTCACCTCTAATAATTCCTCTAAAGAAAATAATATCCAAATAATTTGGGATTGGTTGTCGAATTATATTTATTTATTTATTTAATGTTTAAAAAATGAGAGAAAAATGCAGCCATGGAGATGGTGACTGAAGCTTTGGTCCCATGAAAATGAATTGTGGTTGGGACCACTTTAATACCCACTTTGGCTTCGGTGGGGTGCACCTAATACACACCACCACATATTTTATTTTCTTCATTTTAAATTTTATTTTAAAATTAATACTAGTTTATATTCGATTTACATTTCATGAAATATAATTAGATTTAAGGGACGTTTGGCCAAATTTACTGAAATATTTTATAGGTCCTCGCATCATGGAATCTTATTACTATAACAAGTTCTTGAATTTATTTCAATAAAAAAATATTATGAAACATATAAATACTACAATTTTTTTAATTAATTTATAGTCCCCCCTAAACGACTTCTAGTTCATTGCACCTGAAATTATTGATACTAGTTTGAGCTGTCAAATTTGTCTCCTAATTTGCCAATTATGGCAGATCATAATATTTATTATTAATAATAATAATAAATAAAGTGGAAGATAATTCTTAATTAGGGATGGAATTATTAAGTAGAAAGATGCATGGATGCTTCCTCCAAAGATTTCAAATCTTTTACTTTATTCTTTATTTGATTCTCTCTTTCATTGTTAGCAACAATTTAATCAAAACAAATGGTTTTATTTATTTTATTTCTGTAGTTTGTGTTGGTATATGTTAAAGGAATGCATAGTGTAATAATTTAATGGGAGGCTTCAACTCCTATACATTTAATTTTGAGTCCCACTATGCTTATGAAAAGTTTGTGTTACCATTGGAGGGTCTTTTTGCAACTTGTGCCATACTTCAGGGACCAAAATGTATTGTTAATCCAAAAGCATATAAAGTATCAATTCGTTCCCTAAACTAAAGACTCTTTAATTAGATTAAAAGGTTCTTATAATTAATTAAATGGTATCTTTAGTGTTAATTAGACATTGGAAAGTGTGCATGTCTTTTCTTTTTTAATGGATTGATTTGTTGGGAGACAAATTGCACCATACCTTCTGCCGTGGATGGGGAAACAACTAGGGCAGTTAATTAATAAAAATTAAAAAGAGCTCTTTATTTAACAATTCAAATCTTTCAGTTTGCTTTATTTAACATATTTTTTTTTATCTATGTCTATTTTCGTGAAATGAAATAGTAGATCAGTGATGAAGTATTGACGTTTGAGACTTTCGAACCGAACATATAAAATTAATTAATGTTAATCAAGTTTATGATTGATTGCTTACAAAATATTCCTATTAATTATGTTTTGCTAAAGTTATATTAAACTTTTAATTTTGAAGTAATGAATTAGTTAAGAGCAAGTTGTGCAAGTGGGCATGTGTATATTATGAGTTGTCCAATAAATTATGATTATTTGTTGGCGTTTGTGAAAGAAAATAATCATTATGTAGCGTGTCAGTGACTCGAAATAAGATTCTTAATCCAAATAAAGTAAAAATTTTAACTACATCACTCCTTATTTCTGAGAGCATTGAGGGCGTTCCCACTTGTTTGGACGTGGGCCACGTGGCTCAGTGTATTATTGGATGATATTTTTGGCGGTTTTTTCTTCTAAGTTCACACATCACCAACTGGTTTGTCATTACTCATTATTATTAAATTTATATGATCTAAGGCTCTTGTTTTTTTTTTTTTTTTTTTAATTCGTATATGTTGTTTTCTTTCATTTTCTTGGTAGTTGTAATTGGGTGGATAATTATAATAATAATAGTTATTTTCAATAAATTTAATATATTTATGAAAATTGTAAATAAAATAAAATAAATACAAATCTAGTAATGGGTATTTTTTTCTTTATTCCAATATAATAATTTGAAGATTTGTGAAATATATGATTAAATTGTGGAATCATTAGTCTATGATGTAGCTATTGATTTATGTAAGTAATATTTCTCAATTAAGCAATGCCCAACCATTGGGCCTACTTATAACATAAAGCACACCTTTTTGGGCCTCTTGGGCCAAACAAAGTACGTTTTCCCCTTCATGCCTGCCTACATTCTTGCCCATAAACAGATATAACTATAAAAAAAAAAAGATAATAACAACAGTAACCAATCATATTGCGCCACCTAAGACAGAAAAAATTAAGAACATCATTCATGGATGGATTTTAAATTATTTTCTTTCTTATTCACCAAAACTGAAACCCCAAATTTCAGTTTCTTGCATTCATTTGTTTATGTTTTCTCATTTTGTGCTTTCTTTGCCATCGTCTCACAAAACTGTTTTCTCTTCTCCTTTTCTTTCCTCTCAAATTCTTTAATTTTCATTTTCTGCTTCTCTTTAGCCTTTTTTTCCTTCTCTTTCTGCTTCTTCCTTTTCTCCTTCACCTCTTCTCCCGTCAACTTTATTTTGAAGCACATTATATTTTAATCCTCCTCAATAACTCCTCACACCCACTCTACACACAGTATATATATAAATATATATGATTGGTTGTCGTTCTCCCTCCTAATTAAATTGCCGCCAATCTGCCGTCCTGGGCCGGTATTTTATTTCCCCCCTTTTGCTCTTATTATTAATTATTTTGCATTAGCTTATTATTTTCCTGGTTAAAGTTATAAGCTCCTAGTTAAGATTTGTTTCTTAGTATTAGTATTAGCACTAGTTAAAGTTACAAAGGATGATTTTCAAAATTTATCATATTTTTTAATAATTAATTTCTGAAATAACTACCACAGAATCTGAGGAAGTACATTCAATATTGTTCAAATTATTCAAAATTAAAAGATAGAGAAACATGGGAGTAGTAATAATGAAACATCACCATCTACAGTGAACCCATAGAAGAGAAGATATACATGAACGTTGCCCTAGATCATATCCATGTCCACGTGAATTCCCTCACACCTCCTTCCTACCATTAATACCCTTTTGTTACTTTCATCTCTGCCCAAACCACTATACACATATATATATATATACATATACATTAAATATGTTGAAGACATGTTGACCATATATTTGAAATTTAATAATGGGAGTGAAGGAAACTCGTGACCCTAGTTGGAAAAGCCCTATTTGAAAAGGCAGGCAGCCGTGTTTCATGTGAAAACCCTATGACATGTACTTTTTCTATATTTAATCTTCCTTCTTCCGACTATCTTATAAACCTTTGTCCAATCTTCCAAATATTTCCTCCACCATCAAAATTTACTTCCTCTCTCTCTCTCTCTATCTCTCTTTATTTCTTCCATTTTTCATGTGATATATATATCTTTCCAAAAAGAAGCAATGGGAATAAGCACAAGTAACACCTTCCCAACATTCTCTATTGTCTACATATTTTTCTTGTTACTTACCACCACCACTACCAATGCCCTCAGGCCTTATCATTGTACGCCTCTACGTTTCTTTTCTCCCCATTTTCCATTATTTCTTTTTGTATCTTATATCTATATCTATATCTATAATAGTAAATATCTAATTTTTTATTCAGTCAATTTCATTACATATTAACTGATCCTAAATGTTGGCCTTTTCAGTTGCCCATCTTAGCAAAGGCACTGACCAAAGCCTTACGAGCATCAAGGTACATATTTACCACCTTATTTCTTTACTCTCTTTTTCACCAACTTATTTTCTTCTTTCTTTCCACATCTTTAGCAATATTATTCATACTTCCAAACTTTCTTTGGGTGAACAATATTATATAACTAATACTATTTACATAAATATATTGGTAACAAGCACATATATAAATATACGCACACTTAATTTTGTACAAACTTATAATTAATGCAACAAATAGATATATAATGTGGAATACATATATACAGGAAGGAGAGATAGGAATGGAGCTATACCCGACGGGGTCCAGCCTGCCGGATTGTTTGCATGCTTGTGGGCCATGCGCACCTTGCCGGAGGGTAATGGTCAGCTACTCAAAGTGCTCCGTTGAGTCCTGCCCTGTCGTCTACCGCTGCATCTGCAAAGGAAAATATTACCATGTTCCATCCAATTAAATTATAATCTAGCCGAAAAAGAAAACCAGATTAATGTTGCTTGATTATTCTCTTTGCTGCTTTTTTCTTCTTTCTCTTGTTTGGTAGTAAGTTAATCTTCGGTTAGTTTTAGCAGTAGTAATTAGTGTTACAGAGTTGTAGGCAGATCGAGATTAGCAGATGTTGCAGAAAAGTAAGGAAGCTTAAGCCAATGGGAGATGTAAATATATCCAGTTTTGATTATTTATTATTATCCTTCTAGGCATTTTGCCAAGTTTAGTCAGCAAAATCTTCATCTACTAGTTTCGCATGGTTTGTTAACGATAGCTGATAGTGTCTTAATTCACTGGATTAAACTTAATAAATGTACACATAACGTGAAATATGGTGTTAAGAAAAAAAACACCATTTCACGTTTTTTTCGTACAGTAAATCTACATGCTCCTAAGTAAACATATCAGGAAAAACAACATGAGAGTTGAGAAGGGTTACCATCTACAATTCATCTTCATCCTTTTCAAGTTCAAGGCCCTCTGCTGCCAGAAGCTGTCCTATGATCTTTTTCTTGTCTTCTTCGGCTTTACTCCTCATTAAATCCCTTTTTCTTAGGACAAGTGTATGTCTCCTTAAAGTGCTGTGGAAGTTCTCAATGGATGCTTTTTTCTCTTTCACCAATATCTTCCTTTCTTCTTCAGGATCAATCTGAATTTCAAATTCATAAACATACAAACTTCATATAATATGCAATTCTGGAACTTATAGAATCATTCCTTGATTCTGTTTTTTCCAAATATAAGAAAAACCGAGAGAAAAAAAAAACTACCTTCGAACGAGCAAGACGACGTGCACGGAGATTCAATTCACGCTGCTGTTGTTCAGCCCAAGCTGCAATTGCCATGTCACCTCTTTGGTCAAATGCTTTTCGTTTCTTCATAAGCCAGTCCATCCATGATTGAGACGCCTGATATCGATCGGAGTAGGTTAGATACAGATGATAAACAAAATGGAAGATGAAAAAGGTAAATACGAGCCAGTGAAAAATCGGCCAATTAGTACATGTTAAAAGCAAGCTTAAGTTCATTCTTCATAAAATGAACATTTTTTTCCATTGAATCAAACATTACAAACTCTAGCTGCTAGAACATTTGCAACATAACAAAATGCATCATTCGCGACTCCACCAAAAACATTTCCAAATTTACATATACGTATAGGCAATAGGCATAACCTGCCGATTGGTTACATTAGTTTGAAGTCTTTTTGCCTGAACACACATCAAAATGTATAGAAGGGTAAACTGATAGAATGCAAGAAATTATCACCTTCATTGGATTCACACGATTGTCAGTGTCATATTTTCTCCGGTTCTCCTCATCTACAAGAAGCTCATATGCAGCCTGTATCTTTATAAATCGAGCTTCAGCTGTTTCACCTTCTTCTAATGTCCCTCTTCCATCATATACTTAAGACGGATAAAAATGTTCTTCATCAGTCCAAGTCAAAGAGAAAATAACTTTTATTTCCAGCAGGAGATAATTTAGAATAAACATTAAAATTTAGAATTCCTATAACGAACACAATTCACATGTAAACAAATGGATTGTACTCTCAACTCAAATGTATATGCAGAAAATGCATTACAAATAAGCTACGGGATACGGGACAAACCATCAGGGTGATAGAATTTAGCCAAGCGTCTGTACGCTACTTTAATTTGCTCTTCATCTGCATCCTTATCTAATTCTGCAAGTGAAAAGTTGCAGATATTGTAAACCAACAATTACTTTCAAGAGAATTGAAACAATTACCAGAGATAAGTCTTCAGTGTCAGAAAATATAAAAAGATTCAATGCAGAGATTATCACAAACAAAAATGCTTAGGAAACAGAAAAATTAAAAAAACTAAAATAATTGAACTGATTAAAATCCGAAAACAGTTTTACCTAGGGTTTCATACGGAGATTTGGAGTCTGTCCAATTAGAAGCCCTCGTAGCCACCATCCTCCTCTGGCGATTCAACCTCACCCGCGGCTCATACTTGCTCCGTTCTCCCAATTTATCGTAGCAGACAGCAAAACCCGACGAAGATGTCGACGGAGGCCTCCAACTGTAGCTAGGGCTTTCAACCGACGAAACCCAAGCCATCGATCTGTAACAAAACGCCACAGAAGAAAACACCGTTTGCGGCCGACATATCGCCCGTAAATTACTCATCATATTCCGTCGCCCACAGCAGATTCCGTCGGATTTTCGCTTTCCGATGAAGGTTTTCTACGGAATTCCTGAATCAATCGAGATGATTGAAGGCGTGAAGGAAGATAACTGTGATAACTGTGAAGTATGAAATTGACGAAATTTTTTTTTTTAATTTTTTTTTTAATATTATTAAGTTTCAGTGAATCTCTGTGGAATTCATTTATTTATTTAATTATTTATTTTCCTTTAAATTATGTGGATAGTTTCGCTCCAAATATAGTTGACAGTCAGCGAACGGAATTAGCTTCGAAAAATTGACCGTTTTCGCCGTTCCGTTATCTTCTCAAATGGGCCCAACGTATTTTCAATTTGGGCCGTCCGTCAAGTAAACGGTTTCGGGTCAGATTGGTGAGTTGGATCCTAATCACACCACTTCACAATTTTATCCGGGTTTGGATTTGGATCAAATGGATCATGGGCTGCAATCTAATTTGTTAGACCTAGTGCACCACGGCGCACGTGACGGATTTCGGAAATAACATTTTAAATTGTTTGACTTTTAATTTATTTATATTTAATTTAATTTACTATTATGAACTGTCATGAATTTGAAAATTTGATACCAAATTTACGCCTATTTAGAAAAGGTAATATTTTATTTAATTAACGTGTCCTTATTTAGATCGATCCTTAAAAGATGCGCGCAATATTTGAAATAAAAGCAGGTACCAGAATGAGAAAATAAAATATTAAAAGGACTAAATTGCAAAAGAAAAAGTGAATCCCCATTAAAGGACTTCCCGCTTCTCGGGGGTCAGTGTCTGATAATTTTCTCATGTTTGTCAAAATGGCAGACCCCAAAATCTCAAACTGAAGGGTTTCAATTCCTAGTCTTCGTGTTTTCTTTCTAACGCGAACCCACATTTAATTAATTCTCCCCTCTTTCCCGATTTCTTCTTGCAGATCCGTAAGTCACCCATTTCCCTTTTGTTTTTTAATTATATTTTGTTTCTGTTCATGATTTTTGTGATTGGGTTTTTCTAATTTTTTTTATTGTTTTCTGTGTATCATTTTGATGTCATTGTTAAGTTCTTATGCTAATCATTCTCAATTAGTCTTTTTTTTTTTTTTTAAATTAACCCTTGTAATTTTGGTATGTTAATTGGGTGATATTATTATATGTTTGATAATCTGTGCTTTTGGGTCGAGTTAATTGCTGAATGAAATTCTATTTTAATCATGATGGATTTTCAGTTAGATCACCATTTTTATTTGTATTCGTTCTACTATTTTTTGGGGTTTTTATGCCGATATTACTTGTATTGTATCTCGTTTTGTGTGTCTGAGCTGTATTTAGTGCAGTTAACTCGCAACGTAATCATTTTGTGTGTCACATCGATGATAACAATGCCAGGGTTTAAGGCTCGACACTTGTCGATTGTTTAATGAATAGGTTTTTTACCACCATTTTATGTGTTAAAAGCATCCACATTGTTCGATATGAAATTACTTTTGAAAAACTTGTTTTCCTGCATTAGGATATTACGTTAGCATATCGAAAATCGCCCGAAAAATGATTTAGTGTGATTTCTGCAGTATATATAGTTCTTGAATAAAGGGGAGGAAGGCTCTGGTGAGAAAAAAACAGGGTGATTCCTCCTACAGCTACTTCTGTCAAAACCGAGTGAACCGTCGTATTTGTAAGAAAATAAAATAAAGATATGGAGCACCCGACAAATGCAAACCTAGTACTTGAGAAAGATGCACCCGCACCTGATATCGAAAAGGAGGAGATGAAAAATGTTGATACTGTTAAGAAAGAAATTTTGGAGTCTTCGTCTGACATAGATGAGGTAGATTCGCCTCGTGTTCCGATCAAAGAGCAATTAGAATCACCGATTGTAAATAGTGATGAAGTTAAGAGCGAAAAGAGATCAGACGATGATGCAATAGATTCTCTCGAGGAGGAAAAGGAACCCGTCTTTGATGGGACCGAGGTACCTGGAATAGAAGATAAGGAATCTGCTTGGTCCGAAAAGGCGGTGGCTCTTACAAATTTCGTTAGGCAAAAAAGTTTAGTTGCGGTGTCTACTGTTCTTCGCCGTCTTTCCATGAAGAGTGATGATGGAATCGAAGATTCCTCTGAGGAGAAAGATTCTTCGCCAGAAAACAAGGTTCTAGAAGCTTCTGGAAAATCCGGAGAGAGATTTAATTGGAGCCCTCTTTCTCTTATTGGGATTGGAGACAGCAAATCCGAACAAGAGCAACCCGTCGAAGACGTAACTCAGCCTATTGCCATGAAAGGACGAATTATCTTGTACACGAGTTTAGGGTGCAACGACTGCAAAGAGGCGAGAAAGTATCTACATGCAAAAAGACTCCGATATGTCGAAATAAATATTGATGTGTATCCGACCAGAAAGTTAGAGCTGGAGAAAATAGCTGGATCGTGTGCTGTTCCTCGGGTTTTTTTTAATGAAGTTCTAATCGGTGGTTTGAACGAGATGAAGATTTTGGAGGAGTCTGGTAAACTTGGAGAGAAGATTGACTATGTTGTGAGTGAACCGCCGTCGTTTGAAGCTCCTATGCCGCCACTCTCTGGTGAAGATGATCCCTCGAGTAATGGACCTGTCGATGAGCTGGCGCTTGTTGCTCGTAAAATGAAAGGATCGGTTTCCGTTAAGGATCGGTTTTACAAAATGCGCGTGTTCAGCAACTGTTTTCTTGGTTCGGAAGCTGTTGATTTCTTGTCTGAAGATCAGTTATTGGAAAGGGACGCGGTAAATTTATTTTACTTCGTTGTATATTTGCATTTGTGTCTTCTTTGTGTGTTTCAGTGCTGAACATTACGTAATGTATCGATTTAGGCTGTTGAATTTGGTCGAAAGCTCGCAAACAAACTCTTCTTCCAACACGTTGAGTGAGTTTACCGAAATTCTTTCTCGTCTTCTTTTATAAGTTTGATTTTTTTTTTTATGTACTTTGAATTGAATCAGACTTATGTTATTTTAATTTGTCGATAAAATTTCAGGGACAATATATTCGAAGACGGAAATCACTTGTACCGTTTTCTAGACGACGACCCTCTCATCTCTCAATGTCAAAACATACCAAGAGGCATTAACGAAGGGAAACCAAAACCCATCTCCGAAATTTCTGCGCGCCTTAGATTTCTGCTTCGTGCAATATTGGAAGCATATTCTTCTGAAGATGGACGGCACGTTGATTATAGAAGCATTCACGGCAGCGAAGAGTTTGCAAGGTTTGTTCAAAATCAAAAAAAAAAATTGATAAGTGTAGATTATGGTTGACTTATTTCTAAACGTTGTATACATTTTTTTTTTGTAGGTATTTGAGGATAGTTGAGGAGCTTCAACGAGTAGAATTATTTGAGATATCAAGAGAAGAGAAGCTATCGTTTTTTATTAATCTTTATAACATGATGTCGATTCATGCAATACTTGTGTGGGGCCATCCATTGGGAGCTTTGGAGCGAAGAAAAACTTTCGGGGATTTTAAATACGTGATTGGTGGATCTACATATTCACTTTCGGCTATTTACAACGGGGTTTTGAGGGGTAACCAAAGACCACCTTATAATCTCGTAAAGCCGTTTGGAGCGAAAGATAGGCGATTAAAGGTAAACTTATACCTCTGTTATTGATAAATTTGCTCGTTTTCCCACACATGTAATTCGCAATATTCTGTCTCTCCTAATTTTCAGGTTGCTCTTCCTCACGTGGAGCCTCTTGTTCACTTTGCACTAGTCTGTGGGACCCGATCGGGTCCCGCCATTCGATGCTACTCGCCTGGAAATATCGATACAGAGTTGATGGATGCTGCTTGTAATTTCCTCAGGAACGGAGCACTTTATGTTGATTCGATTTCCAATGTCGTCTATGTCAATAAAATACTGAGATGGTAATGTTTTTTTTTTTTTTTTTTTTTTAAATTTATTTATAATCTTCTTTTTAATTTGATTTTTTTATTGCATGAAATGGGGTTTCAGGTATAGTGTAGATTTTGGGAAGAATGAGGTTGAAGTACTGAAGCATGCTGCGAACTATCTAGAAGCTTCTGATTCTCAAGCTTTTCTTGAATTGCTTTCAGATACTCAGTTGAAAGTTATTTACCAGCCATATGATTGGGGATTAAACCACTAGCTTTCTCTTGTAATAAACTCATCAACTTATTTTAGGACAAATTTTTTATTTTTTTTAATGTTTCGTTTTGAACTAGTTTTTAAGTTATTGTTTGTTATGGACTTAAAAATTCACTTTGCACGACGTCGTTTTAAGTTATTTCATACTTGCATGGGTGGATGAATAAATATGATTAAATAACGTCGTTTGCTTTTCCAGCACTTAATTTGGACTTTGGTCAAAATGCAGCTGCGATTTTTTTAATAAAAGGGAGTACATTACAAACGGACGCCGCGTTAAAACAATAAAAATGGACTCCATTCACCATGTGACATGTGGACAAGTTAACATGTTTTACTTCTTAATTAATTGTTATAATTAGTAATTACCATGGTTAATTTACGGTTAAGAGAGTTTACTTCTTGACCAATTAAACAACATAAAAGGCAAAAGAAGAGTGCACAACAGTAAATATATAATCACATTATTTATACAAAAATAAATACAGTAAAAATAAAATAAATATTGAGGAAAGGAAATATACAAAGAAAAATAAAATAAATTTCAAGAGAAAAGGTTATTTATTTTACTGTATAATCATATATAAATATACATTAAATATAAATTTCGAGAAAAAAGAGATTATTTACCGTCAAAAATCAATTCATGCAATATACAGTAAAATAAATTAAAAAAAAATAAAAGGATTAATTATTGTATAATCACATTATACAGTAAAATTTAAAACTCGAGAAAGGAAAAGGCAAAATAAAATAAATATAGAGTGAAAAACTGCAAATATTAAAAGAAAATGAAAAAAAAAAAAAAAAAAAAACTGTTGGCAATTTAAATGGCCGAAATGAATTATGGGTAAAAAGAAAACTAATTATAGCTAGTTAATGAATTTTGTACTTCAGTGGGTCCCATATGAGAGAGTGCATAATTAACACCATAATTAATACAAAATTGTCCACATGTCAATTGGTGAATGGAGTCCATTTTTATTGTTTTAACGGGGCGTCCGTTTAGAATGTATTCCCTTAATAAAAATTCCCATAAATTGCTTCCGGCCCAAGTTCAAAATTTCAATAATTGTATCTTCAGTCCACAAGAATATATACTTGCCACATAACTTTGGGTAATTGCAAAATTAGTCCTATAACTGCAACTACTTTGCAAAAATAGGCATATGCCATTTTTGTTTTCCTTTCATAAGCATCCACTAATTTAATTTTTAACATGCAATTGGAATTTGTAAACCTTTTACGAGTACTCTACCGAAAAAAGGACAAAGATCATTTAAAAAAATAAGTTACAGGACCAAATTGCAACTTTGAATAGAAGAAGGCTGTTTTTGCAAAGCCGCCCATAGTTACACACGACTGTATATAAATACAAACTTATACCATGAAATGATGAAAACATCTCTCAGAACTTGAGACTCACTGTTAAGAAAATCAGCTTTTTTTTTTTCTTGAAGCTGCATTTTGGAGTTATAAGCTTAATTTACAAAAAGCAATGTCGATGGCTGGAGTTGATATTGCAGAGGCACATTTCTTGAGGAAGCTGCACAAGAACAAGACAGAGACAGAGGAAACTTGTGAGCAGAAATCAACTCAACCGAAATCACTTATTAGTTCAAAAGCTGAAAGTGCTACTTCCATTGGCTGCTTTTCCAGGATATTCAAGAAAATTCATCCCTCAGTGCCAAAAAAAAAACAAAAAAAAAGCACCACACAGCTTAAGTAGCAGCTAATTTTGGGGATTTATGTTTAGCTACATATATATATATATATATATATATATGTTGTATGCGAAATGAATTTAAAGTGTTAAAGAGGTTTTTGAAGTGATAAATTGATTTATTTTGGGATAATTCCAAAGTTAATCGAAAATTGCTTAACTTCGTGGCAATTAAGTACTTCAAAAAACATGAACCTCATTGTGTACATCAATAGTTAGGTTTCTTTATCATCAAATAAAAAATAGGGTAAATTACGATGCAACCGTTGAGAGGCAATGTCAAATTACAAAAATCCCCTTATATTTGGCTAATTACAACCACCACACAACTATGAATATTTTTACACGTCTACCCTTAAGGGTGTCTACTATAATCTTTTAGATTATATGAAATATTCTTTAGTTTGTACCCGTTTTACCCCATTCGAGCTCCACATTTTAAGAAACAAGATGATCATAATGTGTCTCTTATAATCGTAAATATCATACGTGTAAGAAGATTCATAATTGAGGGGTGTGGTTGTAATTACCTAAACAGGAGGGGTTTTTTTCAAGACGTGGCCGTAATTTACCAAAAAAAAAATATACAACATAAAAAAACAAATTAGAAAAAGAAAAAAAAAAAGAAGAAAGAGCAAATTGCATTGTAAACCTTCGAGACAAAGCCATTAGATACACATTCTTACCTGTACGAGGGAAATAAACATAAATCACCCAAAAAGGGTACAATCCAACAACAAACAACACTCAAATTTGACGTTTCTTCAATTTTTTCGTAGATTCTTGTTTTGTGCTCGGATCCCTTTCTATACTTAGGTACAACATTCTCAAAAACCAAACACTATAGTCTATAAACCAGTTCATACGTGACGTGTGAGACATTTCGAAAATATAAATTAACATGTACAAGGGCTTCTCTAAATGCAATCAAGCAGGTATCGAAGAATGTTTGAAGAGAAACCCATTTTTCGTCAAACATGTCACATGATGGAGCACGAGCATCCGACTTTCTTTTTGGAATTCTCCTCCAATTTATCTGCACAAATATCATATCTCATATTAGTTATGCAAACAGGATCCATGCTGTTAGTTAAGAGTAATTGAATTGAACAAAGAACGAGCTATAGAGTTAAGAGATGCTGAATCAAGAATCAATCCGGTTATATATTACTACGGATTCCGTCTCAATATTATTTTTTAATAAATCTTTAAAGTAAACAACATATTACCGTTATGCTTATTTGGAAGGGGAGGGCGCACGACAACAAGCATAGTGATTGCACCACCCGGAACTTCACTGAGTGGAGTTCTCGACTCGGCCAGGGTTCTGTTATTTTCCAGTATCTTTCCTGCATTAATCAGCTTTATATCGTTTATGGATTTGGGCCCGTTTAATTTATCTGCAACAACACAAGTGCCTGTGTGAGGATAATCGATAGTCGTCAAGAAGTCAATAGCCAAGTAACGATCAACGATTACTTTAACTCTACCATGACAGGCACATAAAAAATACTAACAACAGATATTGCAACGATTTCATCCGATCGATAAAATTTACGACAATCTGATTTTCACCTAGCAGGCAAAGAGTGGACTTCGTATTCAGAATCTATGTTCCGTAAAATAACTCGAAGTTCCATTTTGACAAGTTACGATACAGTCCAAATCAACAAACATAAAAGGATGAACATGGATTAAAGATCAAACCCGAAACGAAAAAGGACTAAATGAGCATAAGAAATGATAACCTTTGGGCCATTGTGCAATAATCTTTTCCTTGAGAAATGTGACAGTTGCACCAGAGTTATACATACTTGGTCCAATGTCACTGCCATCAGCAAGCCTAAATTTGAGCTCAACCAATTCATTCACAGCCATTAAATAAAACCTCAAATTTGAGCTACACAAACAAAATCAAAAGTCGCCGCCTTTATTTGAATTCAACATCTCAAATTAGGGTTTAATCCAAAAGAGGGGAAACGGCAGAATCAGAGCCCAGATCAGAATTTTCAACGATTTGACTTGGGATACTAGTAAAACATTCAAAAAACTAGAAATCAATCCAATTTCTAATTAAAAACAAAAAAAGTAAAAACAAAAAAAAAAAATTCGGGCTTTTTCAGCTGTAATATCGTCAAGGATTCGGATCGAGATCTTGGTCGGAAACAAATCCAGCTGTAATGAACTGTGGCAGGATTTGAATATCTGGCGATCGGAAATTAGAGGAGAGAAGGGTTTGATAACTGAAAAAGGGTTTGCATTTTGCAATGAATAGTTCCGCCGGCTGAAACGAAACTTTGTTTTGCTTTGGAATTCCTCTAGTAATTATTTAATTTATTTATTTATTAAATTGCTTGATGTTGAAATAAAGAACTTTGATAATTTCTAAATATGATGAAAGATGACAAAAAGGAAAGGGTCCAGATAAGATTCTTCTGTGGATCCATTTCAAAATTGGTCGACTGATTTATTATTATTGCTGAAATTATATTTTTTTTATTACTAATATTTAAATTGTTATTTTATATCAGTTTGTTTTCTTTTTCTTTTTTTACAACAAAGGAAAAACCGTTTTTATTTTTTCGCAATTTTTTTTTTGGGATTTAAAAAATCGGAATTCTTGAAGGTTTTGCTCCGACGACTATCAAGGATTGATCGATCCCGGGGGCGGCGGATTTTGCTCGGGTTTTGTTTTGTCTAATCTTGCAATGTTTGTTTTTGCTTTTTGATTTTGCAAAAATAATTTGTCTTTTTTCAGCTTCATCAACAAAACAAGAGAAATATAATTAATGGGCATATCGGTCATTTCATGTTTAGCTATATTATAATAAATTTAAATATTTCAGTTCATGTGTATTAAAATTAAAATAGTTTAACATAAATAAAAAAATCAAAATACGACACAATATATTGAACTTTATGTGTTTGTCTATTAGCATGAACCGAAAAAGAATTCAATACATCAAAATACTTATTCTCAATAAATTAGGTTTATGTGTTTTGAGGTTAGTCAATATTAGATAAACAATAAAATTAATAAATAAAGTTGGTTGACCGATATTATCCGACTAACTAACTTTTTAGGATATTATAAACTATTATCGACTCAACTATATATTGTTGGTTGATATTATCGACCCAACTTGAATGGGTTGGTTGATCGTAGATTATCCATAAAAAAATAAGGGTGAAAAATTGGTTGGTTGTAAAACAAATGTTGTGACTAGAGTTGTTTGGGTTGGGCCTAAAAAATATGTATCACGAATCATAAATTCTTGAATGGTTTTATAAAAAATACTAATGTCATACCATGCATATGTTATTGGGCCACACTTAGGCTTGGCCCATTGTAAAACTATTCAATTAATTAAATTAAATTAAATTAAAGAGAGAGAGACAGAAAGGGGAGAATGGGAGTTTATGGAAGTACGTGAGCAGAGACTGCGGTTGCAGAAGAAAACCCAATCATGCATGGCTGCATATATTGACAATCATAGCTGCGTCAACTACGAGCTGTACTACACTTTCACCATGCAATAATTACATTATTTAATTAATTAATTATTAAAATATAAATATCTATATATATCTATATATACACATATCATTGGAAATTGTTCCAAATGTTCATGTTCTCTGCTACACGCGTCACACCCCCTCGTGTTCTTGTAGGTTCAATTCAACCATATTTTCACTTTGTAATTATCTTATAAGTTGAAATACAATTTTCTTCTATTTTCTTAAAATTTAAAATTTAAAATTTATTTAATCTTTACTTTTTAAGAGAAAATAATATACATTGAATAAAATAAATTTTAATTTGCACAAAATATAATCGATGTATTTCTAAAAATGCTAAATCTACCAACCAATGGCTGGAGATGCACTAAGCCCTAAATAATTAAGTAGCTAATTAAATTCATAATAATTCATAAATGGAATATGAAGAGGAATGTGTTAATTAGTGACAGTTGTCTCCAACTCCAAATTCCCATTTAAATATTTACATAAATATTTACTGTAATGGTAACTTTTGAAATATGTCTGGATAAGGACCCCGAATTATTCGTAGACCTGACTAATAGTTGAACCGGTCCTAGAATATCTTTAATTTACCACATTACCTCGAGTCAAATAAGTAATTTG